TCTTAAAATAACTAATCTTAATAACAATAATTATTAATGAAATAATAGCTAATGAAATAATAAAAAGAGTTATTAACTCTAATAAACTGATGTTATCATTAGATTTAGAATCTTTTGTCTTTAAAGATTTGCTTCTATTAATATTTTGGTTATTTTATCAGAAATTTTTGATCTTTTATTACTATTGTTTGATCTTTCATTAATATTTGATAATCTAATACTATTATTTGATCCTTCGTCATTAACATTAGTTGATCTTTCTTCATCATTAATAGTTTTAACTTCTTTATCACTATCATTTTCAGCTTTTTTATCAGCAGTATCTTTATTATCTACATTAAAACCATTAACATTTTCTAATATTTTATTATCAGATTCCACTTCTCTTATAATCTTTTGAATTTCATTATCATTAATCAATTTATAATTTTGATGTTTATTTTCTATATTTTCAATTATTTTTTTAACATTCTCAAAATCTTCTTCTTTATAATTCTTAATCAAAATTTCTACTTCATTTTTTAATATTATAAATTTTTTAAAACTACTTTTTATCTTATATTTTAATCCTAATAATATTTCTGAGTCGTTTTGATTTTCAAAAAATTCCTTTGATAATTCTTCTAATTCTTTTTCATTCTGTTCTATTTGCAAAATTAACGATTTCTTATTTTCTTGCATAATTTTATAAGATTCAATATCATTATCAACTGATGTTTTGTTCTTATTCAAACTTAAAGCTTTGTTAGTAAAAAATTCTTTTATTAAAGTTAACCATCGGTATAACATTTCATTCATTATATAAATAAATCTCATTTCTTAAATATAAGAATTCAATTTTTTTGTTTAAATCAAATTTTTTGACATTTTTGATTTATTTAAAATGTAATTATTTTTAAAAAGAAATTTTGTATTTTTATGTTTATGTTTTATTCTTTAAATTCTGTTTAAATTTACAAAAATAGTTTTTTATTAAAATGTCAATTTAGATTGAAATATTTTTTTATGAAAATTATTTTACAAATCTTAAAACATTGAAATTTTTGTTTCAATTTTTTGATTATTGCTGAAATCGGTAGTAAATAAACAACCAATTTATTTAATCTTTCACCCATAATCTCTCTAACAACATCTTTAACTTTCTTCTCATCTAATAAATCTATTAAGCCTTTATTAACATTATCTCTATCATCGTCTTTTCTGTTAATATTTATAGATAAAATCCTATAAAGGAAATAAATATAAAACTAGTGAAAAATTTACATGTATAGTTAATTACATCACTTGATCTAATAATCTCAATCATTACGACAATTAAATAATTTTTTAAGTGTTTTTCTTATAAAATTACTATCGTATTGTGCCAACATAAAAAAAATAGAATATTCTAAACTTTAAATTTATTATAAAGTTTTTCTTCAATAATTTTATTAATAAACTAATAATAAAGAATTGTTTAAAACAAATAACTAAGTTATGATTCATTGATGAACAAGAATGACTACTTCTAAACAATAGTTATAATTATTGTAAAAATAGTAGTTTATTATTACTAGGACGGTAATTTTATATGAAATATTACTGGAGTAATCAAGAGATAATTATATAATATGAATTAGAAATAATATTCTAATAATCAATTTATTTATAAAACAAAAACTAATGTTTCTTTTTAAAATGATAAAAAACATAAAAACTATTAAAAGATTATATTACAAATTTTACGATATTTCAATAAACTCTTCTAATATTAAAATTATATATAATTTTTTAGTTTGAAATATACTATATTTAAATCAAAATAACACTAAATAAAATCTGTAGCTCCTCTTTTTTACCTAAACAACTATAATGCGTTCATCTAATCTCAAAACTCTTGTTTTCTGTTTGAAATATTTATTACAAGTCTTTAAAATTTGCTTCTTTATATTTTTGTTAGCCATTTTATTTATTTTCTTTAAAATAAGTAATTAAAAAAAAAACTTAAACTTTTATACTATACAGTTTGGAATCTTAATACACTTGATGGTAATAAGATCAAAACAATTATCTTTATATTAACTAAATCTTCTTCTAGTTTCTTCTTAATTTTATGATAACTATATAGTTAATTATCTAATAATGTTCCTATCTATTACGCATGTTTTCTAATAAATTATTTATCTAAATCATCAATTTATTAAAAAATAAGAATTAAAATGATTTTATTTATTAGTTATAAATTTAATTGCTTTAACACAAACTTCTGTTAACACTTTATTTAATAAAAAAATCATTCTCATTAAATACTAAAAACTAATTTATATTTTATTTCTAAATAAAAAAATTTTAATTATATTTTATAAAAACAATCTTACATAAACGATAATTGTTAACTCAAAGACTTAATTCTTAAAACGTAATTTTTAGATTATTTTTTAATCATTTCTTCAAATTTGACAATTTATTCGTTAAGTATTCTAAACAATCATCTTGTTTTCGTGGATAAAATTAATATAAATTCTTTAAATAACTATTAAATATAAGAAGAGAATTCATGACGTCATCCGACTGCATCTATAAAAAAAATTTTTATAAAACAAAGAAAAAGACGTATTTGATGATAAATATTAAAATTTAAACATTTTCTTAAAAATATCTGTCATTAAATTTAATTTGATCAAAGCAAATGTTTAATATTAATTATAGAACTGTTTATACATTAACATTAAATACCCAAATTACTAGATAGTATATTAATTAAATGTGAAATAAAAACATTTTAATTTTTTTAATAAAAAAATTTTGAAGATAGTTTATTTCTTAATAACTGATCTTTCACTTGAAGAATAATTCTTAAACACAATAATTATTAAAATAATAATTATCAGTGAAATAATTAAAAAAACTATTAATCTTTTAAAATCAATAGTACTGTTGGAATCTAAATCTCCTGTTCCATTCGTTTTTCTACCACTGTTTTTATTATTAGCATTAACATTTCTAGTAGCCTTAGATGTACTTTCTTTAATAGATGATTCATGAAGTTTTTTAAATTTAGAAAATTCATTTCTAAATTCTCTTAATTCATCTAAAATAATATCATTAAAGGCTGCAATTTTTAAATAACATACCTCAAAAAATTTAAAAATTCGTTCATTATCTCCTAATAATTCAGATTTCATTTTTGCTAATCCAACATCATACTTTTTAAAAAGATCTTTGATAATTTCAACAATTTCCGATTCATCTATTTTATCTTCTATAGGATCAGTTTCTATACTAACATTGAATCGATCATCACTCCTTTGAGTTTTATCATCCAAACTATTAGTGTTATGATCATCACTTTCTTGAATGCTACTTACTCCAACGTCACTACTTTGATTATCTTTTTTTTAATTTTTATTTTTCAAACCATTAGTATCTTGATCATCATTTCTTAGAGTATTATCTTTTCTATCGTCACCTTTATCACCACTATCTTCTGAAGTGCTATTTTGTTCAACGACATCATCTTTATTACTACCATCTAGAGTATTATCTTTTCCATCGTCACCATTTTTAACACTTCCTGTAGTGCTATCTTTTCCATCGTCACCATTTTGAACACTTCCTGTAGTATTATCTTTTTCAACGACATTAGCTTGATCACTATTTTCTGAAGTGCTATCTTTATTAGAGACACTACCTTGTTTGAAACTTTCTGTAGTGCTTTTTTCTTCAACAGCATCTTTATTACCACTTCCTTGAGTGTCACCTACTCTATCACCATTATCTTGCTCATTATTTCTTTTAGTCTCTTCTTCTGATAATTTAGTAGATTCTGTACCTGTACTATCATTTACTGATGATACATTTGGATCTGAATTTGTAGACTCGCTTGTCAAAATTTCTTTAAATATAACTGTCCAATGTAACAATAAAAAAATCCTTGTACTAATAAATCTCATTTCTTAAATATAAGGGTTAGATTTTTTTTCTATTTAAATATAAATTTTTGCCATTTTTGACATATTTTAAATATAATTTTTTTTAGAATTTAAATCATTAATTTTAGTCTTTGAATTTTATTATTTCTACTTGTTTTAATTTACAAAAATACTTTTATTTAAATGTCAACTAAGAATGAAATATTTTTTTATGAAAATTTTTTATAAAAAATTTTATTAATTTCTAAAATATTAGAAATTTTCTCTCAATTCTTTTTAAAAACAAAACAAATCTTTTTATGTTTTTTTATAAAAAATTTCACATTTGATTTATTGCTAGTGACATAAATGAAAAATTATATAATTGAAAATAGAAACTGTATTAATATAAATCAGTTTAATTGTAGAATAAAAGCTGTTTATTTTAATACAATAAAAATATAAGAAGTTTATAAAAGACCATATTGTGTATTTTATGGTAATTAAATAATATTTTCTAATGTTAAATAAATTATGGTATTCTTTAATGATTTTTTTGTTTTTAGTTGAAATGTACTTTATTTAAATCAAAATAACACTATATAATATTGTAATAACTGTCTTTATTTTTGTTAGGAAATGAAATAATTACTTTTATTATTTTTAAGAGGATTATTCAATCTTAAATAAATTTTTGTTATCAAATTTATTTTATAACTACAAAAAAGGGAATGATTGAAAATTATGATGAGTGTAAGACATCTCTTCAGAGCATACTAACACATCTTAAAATTTTGTAACTTATAAAAACATTCATTGTTAATTTATATTCTTTGGGGTAACATGTCTTCTCTACTCTATCCAGTGTGTATTCGTTAAATACACCTCTTTCTATTCATAGTTTATTAATTCATTAAAATTTCTTGAAAATAATATCTTATGTATCTCAGTTTCATATCGGGTTTCAACTTGAACAGTCCAGGATATAAAATTAAAACTTAAAAAATTGATCTTATTCTTAATATTCTTTCAACAAAATTTCTTAATTTTCTTATAAAATAGTTTATTGATTTTATATTATACTGGAATAACAAATAAATCGTTAATAAAGTTTTAAATACGTTATATTCAAACATTAAACTTCTTTAAGAAAAACAAAACTTGTTTTATAAATATTTAATTTATTTAAATATTTTTTACAATTACAAATGTTTTTGATTCTTTTTGTTAGAGATATGAAAGTTTTAATATAACTATCGATGTAAAAATTAAAATCAGAACTAATTTTATTAAATAATAAATATTCTGTTGCAACATTAAGTTTGCAACAAGAATATATTTAATTTCCTAGAAAAAATCGAACTATAAATTTTGGTAAAAAATTTTACCCATTAAAAAATGAGTAGTAAAGATTACGATAGAGACAATAAATTACAATTAAATAAAAAATTTGGTAGCTATGACAATTCACATATCTTATTTTAACATGAAATTTTGTATTTCTTCAATTTTAACTTCCTATTTGAAATTTAATTTGATTTAATATTGTATTTAATAAGAAGAAATGTTTTTTATATAATTTTCTAAATATAGTTGCCAAAATCAACAGAAGATGAGTAAAGAAATTTTTTTAAGTCTTTTTAATCAGTTTAATACACACTAATATTACCTGTGTTTATATTTATTTTTCATTAACATCAAAATTACAGTATTACTAAAAAGTGTTTAAATGTAATAAAATAAAAAAAGTACGCTATTAATGAATACAACTATGGTATAGTTCCCATATGAAATATTATTATTTCAAATTTATTTTTTTATGAAGAATTTTAGTTTCTATTTTTAACCCCCTAATTATCAGAATGAGAGATACAAATAAAGATTTAACAGAAAATAAATTTATTAACAAAAGCTTTTAAGGTATTATTAAAAACTTTTGTTGTTTAAGAGAAAATATTCTGTTAATATAATTAATTAGATTGAACTAAAATTTTTTCTATTTTTTAATTTTATTGTGTAGAATACACGCACAATATATATTGTTTTAAATGTTTATTACAAGAAACAAGAATAAGTTTTTATTAACTGATAAAAAACATTATAATTTTTTATTTTTATTAATTTTAATAAGTTTTAATGTTACTGTTCATCGTAAAATTTTGTAAATTTATCTTATATTATTCTTAAAAATTATTGTTGACAATATTATCTGCAATTAATTAACATTTTTAATTATTGACAAATAATTAGACAATAATAATTATCTTTAACATTAAGTGTTTTAAAAAAGTTTATTTATTGCTGAAAAACTTTTTCTTTAAAGAACGATTATTAAAAAGAATAATTACCATTAAAATAATAATCAATGAAACAGTAAAAAATACTATTAAACTAAATAAAATATTTTTGTTATTAGATTCAAAATTTTTCTTTAAAGGTGTATTATCTTGAATATTAGATTTTTTCTTTTCATCAGAAAGATTTGATTTAATATTAGTTGTTTCTTTATCATTACTTAGAGATTTTTCATCATTACTTAGAGATGTTTCATCATTAATTTGTGGTTTTTCACCATTACTTTGATGTTTTTCATTAGTATTTTCATCTTTTTCATTAGTATTTTCATCTTTTTCATAAACAATTTTTGATTCATCATCATCAATCTTTAAATTATTTTTAGATTTATTTAATCTTTCTTCATGTTCATTTAATTTATCATGTATTTTATTAATTCTTTTATTTGAATATTCAAAATTTTTTAAAATCAGTACTAAATTTTCATTCTTATTCTTTTTTATTCCTTTTAAGATATTTTCATATTTTTTATGTTTTTCTAAAATTTGTTCAAATTTATCTTTTATACGTTCAATTTCTTCCGAGTTTATTTTATTATTTTCTAATTCTTTAATAATTTCATTTAATTCTTTGCTGATCAAACAAATTTTCGTATTTAATTCTTCAACTTTTATAGAAATTTTGTTTAATTTAAAACTTTTTATCCTACTTTCATTTTTCCATACCTGTAGAGTGTTTTCGGTAACTGATTCTATTAAACTTAACCAATGTAAAACAAATATTATCTTTTCACTTATGAACCACATCCTTAATTAAGGGGTAAATTTATAATTTATTTAAATATATAATTTTGATTTTTTTGACATCATTTAAATTAAATAAAAAATCTTTATTTAATATATTAATATTATATTATTTCAATCATATTATAATATTAATATAGTTAATTAATTATTAAATGTAAAAACTTAATGAAATATTTTTTTACAAAAATTTTTGTAAAAAAATAAGATCAGAAATGTTAGACATTAAAATTGTAAATCAGTTTTAATATTGTAATCTTTTGTATCATTAAAACAATTAATGATGTTTATATATAAAAATTTACAATTTAGTTTCAAATAATATTTTACAATCCACTAAAGTATCCAGTAAAAAGTTTGATTGATTAAAAGGTTTTATAAAATCACATTAATATTAATACTAAAATCTATCAATTGTTGTTAAAGATTTGAATACTAAAAAGACAAATGATACATTAATAAATAACACAAAGCACAACAATAAGTTTTAAATTTTATTTTATAAAAAACTATTACAAACTTTTATCTTAAAACTACTTTAACTTTTAAAGATTTTAAAACTTATTGTTATTTAAAAACTTATTATAACTATTTTGATCAAATATTAATCATAAACTTGTTGTATTGTGTGACTTCTCCACACTCGTCTGATTTCATTTCTTCAGTTTCTTTAAATAAATCTCTCTTCTTCTTCATAGTTTACTTAATATTATTGGTTTCTAAAAATAATTTCTTAAAAACCCCTGTTCCAACATGGGATTCGAACCCATGATTAAAGATTTCTAATCTAACGATGTTAAATAAATTATCTTCATCCTTCTAAACTATTTATATTAATTAAATAGGATGTCTTTTTTGCAAACGTTAAAATTCAAACTTAATTTGTTCTAAACTATAAATTTTTATAAAAATTCTATTCATTTAAATGATAATTAATAAATTAATAAAACAACAATATATATTAAATATTAACCAAGATAATAGAATAAACTACCCAGATTATTTCCAAAATAAAAAGTGAATAACGTATGTTGTAAATCTTCATCCAGTACAACAATTAATAATTTATTTTTTCATTACTTATTTATTAAAATTTTATTAAAAAAATATTTTCTAATAAAATTTCATTAAAAAAAGCTGCAATAAAAATTTTATAAAAAAATTTTAAAAATGAAAATCGAAATAATTGATGAAACAAACAATTTAATAAAATTTAAAATACATTCAAATGTGTCATTTGCCAATTCACTTAGAAGAATATTACTTAAAGAGATACCATCAGTTGCGGTAGAGTTTATAGAGGTGTCTGAAAACACCTCTATTTTTGAAGATGAAGTGTTAGCTAATAGAATTGGATTAATTCCAATCAATACATCGGACGATTTAGTATTTCCAGAAGAATGTGATTGTGAAAGCTATTGTGAGAGATGTTCTATAATATTTAATATCGATGTAACGAATAATGATTTAACAAATATGAATGTATATGGAAATGATATGATTACTAATTCAGATGCAAATGTACACAACTCATTAATATGTAAGCTGACGTATAAACAAAAAGTCAAGATAAAAGCAATTGCTAGAAAGGGAATTGGACATGCTAAATACTGTAAAGTGACTGCAGTTGGATTTACATATGATGAAAACAATTCAAGAAGACACACCAGATTATGGAATGAAGCAAACCAAGAAGTCAAAGAAACATGGCCTCAAATTAACGAACCCAAATCAGTTGACTGGAGTGACGTAAATGAAGTTAACATGGAAATTGAGGTTGTTGAAGGAAAAGGAAGGCCAAGAGATGTTTTAATAGAAGCTTTGTCTATTTATAAGTTTAAAATGGAAAAGTTATTAAGAAAAATTTAATTATTTTTTAAATAAAATTTTTCTTTGATAGGCAAATTTAAGACCAAAACCAATTGTTAATAAAATTAAAATTGTTCCAATAAAAATTAAAACAATCTTAAAACTAAGAAATTGCATAGTTAAATTTGAAGATTCTGTTTCTACATTTTGATTGTTTCTATGATTAATTATTTGGGTTTCTGATTCATTTTGATTGTTATCTTCAATTTGAGAAGTATTAAAAAGAGTTTTTATATCAGTTAAAATAAATGTACCAGATTCTAAATCACTTTCCTCACATTCTGAGTTAATCCTTTGCATTTCATTTTGAAAATCTTCATTATCTTTCAGCTTATTTTCAATCTCTACCAACTTATCATATTTTTCTTTACATTTACTTTCAATACCTTTAATTTCTTTTTCTTTAAATCTTATAGGAATTTTAAGACAATTAAGGGTATTTATATCTATATCTAGTTCTTTTTCAATTTTTTCTAGTATTTCTTTTGTTAGATCTTTAATATTTGATAAAGAACTTTTAAAGGAATTATATTTTTGATTTATAGTATTTAAAGAATTTGTTATAGTTGTTAAATGATTTTCATTTGGATCTATTTTCATTTTTAGATTATTATTTGAATTATTTTTCAAGCTATTAAATAACTCTTTAACTCCCTCTAGTAATTTATTGTTGTTATTTCCAATTTTACGTATAAAAAGACTCAATTGAGATTTTATTTCATTGGTTTTTTTATAAATACTACTTAAGATGTTTTTCGAACTCTCTAAATTATTTTTAATAGTGCTCACCAAATTATTTAAAACAACCAATAAACTCTGATTTTCTTCTAATAAATTTTGAGTATTTTCTAAAAGCTTCTTTAAATCATCATTAAAGACATCCGACGAATGATTAAGAATACAAATAGATTCATCATCTGATGATGATTCTATTATATTCATTAAACTAATAATTACTATAATTATTTTACTAAAAATTCTCATTGGTTTAATTTCTATGGGTTAAATAAAATATCTTCTTTAAATATATCACCTGTCAAATCAATCAATCAAAATCTATTTAAATATTCTTTGTTACTTAAATAAACAATTTATTCATTTTGGAGGATACGACAAAGATTAATATAAATTTTTAATCTAACTGTTATAGCTCATACATATAAAGTTGCTCATTTTTGTGTAATTTAAAAAATTTAATTTTTATCTAAAATTTATCAAATTTTTACTTATAAAAAAAGGAAATAAGAGAATTGTTAACATGAAAGAAATAGAGAATAAAAGTACAAATACAAACCAATATAATATTATTTTACAAGTTTATGAATCCTCTAATGATTTTGACATCAACATTTTTTTATTATATGTTTAAAGCAGTCTTTTAGAAAGTAAATGCAATTTTTTGAATATATAAAAGGTGAATATTGATTGTATAATTAATTATATCTTCAATAAAAACAATCAATTATACTTTAATGGTTATAAATAATAAATATATTAAGTAATATTTAAATCATACTCATTTTAATTTATAATTAAAAACAAAAAATATTGTATAGAATACTCTTATAGTTTTTAAAACAATTTAAAACTACAAATTACTTCTATTGCTTAATAGATCAAAAACTTTAGAAAAAGTATTTTATTCACCGTGGCAAGTTTATTAAATAAAAGTATAAATAAACTTTAAACTAATCAGATTTTTAAATTATATTGAAAAATTATAATAATTTAAGAAAAATATATGTGTTTTTATTTTTAAAGCTTATAAAACTATATTATTTTAACGTTTTTTATAGATAAAAATTATATCAATTACAAATAAACTAAACTTAAAAATTAATCAAACAAGAATTTTCTTATTAAAATTTTGTGAATGTGATTCTGTGTATTTTATTTCTTTATAAATTATTATTATCTTATCATAAAATGTTTTAATTTCAATACTATCTAATATGTTTTTTTAGTTTAAATATAATTAATGTATCATTTATTTAACTTAATAAAAATTTTGAAAAGTTTCTACAATATTTTTATTTTTCTATTATAAACTTATTTAACTTAAATTTGATTAAATATAAATCTTATTCAATATCATTTAAATTAATTGAAATTAAATTAATACAAGTTTAAAATAATTGATATTGATTTGTTTGATAATTAAAACCATTTTCATTGTTTTCTAAGTCTTGTTAGTTATTTTAAATGTTACTTTTAATTCATTATGATCAATTTTAAAATTAGAAATATTTTCTGATGTTTTAAGCTTTTTTAACTTATTCATCAAAAAATTTAGTTCATTAAAAAATCTTTTTTTATAAAAATATAATTTTTCTTTTCCTTCTCTAATTTTTTTTAATCATTACATTTTTATAGATTAAAAAAAATTATACGTCTTACTAAAAAACTCTTTTTACGTAAATTTTTTAAACTATTCTATACTAAATTTAAATAAATATTTACCTTTTTTAAAGTTGTTGTAGCTTGTACGGATTGTTAACTTATTAAAAAAATCTTTTGTTAATCATCCTTTATTAATCAATTATCCTTATAATTTCAAGTAACCAATAATGTTATAATTAGTTTAACTTGAAACACTAAAGTATATGTCAAACTAGTTGACATGGGGTTTGAGTATGATAAATATAATAATTTAAAAAGATTTAAATATTTAATAGCAAAGGGAATGTTATTTAAGTGTATTTAAAATAAAAATGGAATTAGATATTAAAAAAAGTTGTGGTTTATAGGTTTTAAATAAAATATTTTAACATTTTAAATTAAAAAATTAACAGATAAATTAGTGTTTCTAAAACCAATATCATTTAACAAATAAATTAGAAATTTAATTATTTTTTGATAACTTTTTTCTTCTATAAAGAAATATTAAACCAATTAAAATTATTATTAAAATAAAAAATGAAATATTTTTTACATTAAAAATTTGTAGATTTGATTGGGAATTATTTTCTATTTCTAAAGTTGTATTTTCATTTTCTAATGATGATTTCTTCTCATTAATATTTAAATTATTTTCTGTAAGTTTATTTTTATCACTTTCAACTTTTTCTTCTTTTTAATGTTGTGTGCTCATTACCACTTCACTATGTATGTTAATTACTGGTTCCCTTTCAGAATCAATATCACATTCATTTTGAAAGGTTGATGAAATATTATTGAGGTTTTTGATAATATTTATAGTATCTTTTAATATTTCTCCGTTCCTTTCATACTTAATTTTAAAAGATTTAACTTCTTTTATTATTTGATTAAGGTCGGATGAAACCTGTTTCATTTCTGATTCGATATTTAAAACTTTTTCATCATCTTTTTTATCAAATGAAAAATTTAAGGAAAAATTTTCAAAATCTTCAATTGAATTGTCATTTTGAGTATCATCTGAATATTCAATTAAGCTACTTTCAAAGTTATTGCCACTGTCGTATAATAAAAATGAGCCAGACTTCGAATCTTCTTTATCAAAATCCAATTTTTTTACTATATTTTGATAATATTTTTCAGTGGATTTTAATATCTCTTGAATTTTATAAAAGTCTTCCATTAAGTCTTGAGAATTAGTTTCTTGCAACTTTTTTTCAAAAATTTCTAATTTGTTTGGAGTATTTTTAAAAAACTCTTCAAACTTTCTCATTTCACTATCCTTTTCATTTTTATCTTTATATGCAGATTCAGGGGTATTTTGATAAGAATTTGTAGCTGAAAATATAGCTTTTTTACATAAAATATAATAAATACCAATGACGTCATTTTACTTTTAAATTTTATGATAAAAATTATATTTTTTAATTTTGATTTTTTAAATTTATAAATTAAATTTAAAAACACTAATTGAATTTTTAAAACTTTTATTAATAAATTAAATGATTATTTATATGATATCTTTTATTTTTTGAAAATTGATCAATAAATTTGATAAAATAATTTATTGAGTTTAATTGATTAAAAATATTAAAACAATAAAGAATTTAGTTTATATTTTTTATGTTTAAAAGAACAAAACGTATAAAAAACATATTATAGTGATGTTAAAATAATTAATATATAGTTTAATATAATCATCAAAATTGTTAAAAGATGTATAAATGAGTTTATTAAATCTATATATACTACTTATTTATTGTGTTATTTTTTTACTATTATCGATAATTATCATATTCATAATACCCTCTCTATTATTAATTTTTATAATTAAAATTTTTGCAGACTATAAGAAGTCTAGAAATTTAGACTTAATCATCTGTGATTACTGTAAGATGTGACAATAATTAAAATTTTAAATATTTAATCAGTATGACAAATAAGTTTAAAAAATTTAATTATCATATAATTTCTATTAATAGGAAGAATAATTAATACAATATAAATGATTTAAAATATATGTGGAATAATCTATATATACAATTTATGACATTAAAACAATTATATATGTTAAAGCAATTTGTTATTTATTTAATAAATATACTTAAATTTTTTTACTTTATTTGTGTTTTTAGTTTTAAAAAATTTTACTAAAAGCTAAAAACTTTTGATAAACATATAAAAGTAAATACAAACTGTAATGAAAATAACAAACAAAAATTCTCTTATATAAAAATACAATCTTATTAATTTTTAATCAATCATATTAACGAAATTAAATAATTAAATTACATTACTGTTTATTAATCATTAATAAAAACGATTAAAGATTAAATTAAATTATATGTATAATTCTTGAATGGTTTATTAAGTTTTAAATTGATATATTAATACAAAGTATTTACCTTTATAATAAAATATAAATCTTTTAATTTAGTCAATACAATCACATGTCTTATATATTTTTATCTATAATTTTTATTTAACAGTGTTTTAATAAAAAATTTAATAAATTGAAAAACAAATGATTTAAATGTTTTTAAAGCATTATTTATTAAATAAAAAAATAAATTTACACTTTCTTATTAAAAATATAAAGTTTTTGAGTTTGTTTATCAATAAATGGTTTGTTTGTTTATTTTTATTAAAATTTTAATAAATAATTAGTATTTATCTAATACTGTTTTAAGCTGTTTATATAAAATTTTATACTTTTTATCAAAATTTTTAGTATATAAATTTTTTGATAAACAATTTTACCCATGTTATTTGTGTGTATACAGATACTATTCGTTTGTTGTAAACTTGAGAAGAAAAAGGGTAAAGACGATATTAAAGATAAGACAACAGATAAGAAAGCTATAAGTTCATCGAAAATTTACAAAAAGGAAAACATTAAAAGTAAAAATAACGAAGAAGATGATGATTTAAAAGAGTCTAATAAGAAAAATAAAACGGTGAGAAAGAATAAAACAGGCGGTGAAAACAGTAAAAATGAAAAAGAGAAGTTATTAAAATCTTTAGCTAAAGAAGATGATAATAATACTGAAAACAAGAAGAATGATAAAGGTAATAAAGTTAAACATACGCCAGCAAGTGAGTTCGATTTTGATGACTTGGATGAAAAGAATGCAGCTACTGATATAGAAAAGAAACATCATCTTAAAATAAAACCAAAGATGAATAATGTAATATCTATTAAATCAATGGTTATATTTAGCAAAGGAGATATTATAAATTCTACAAAGAAGGTTGATAAGAATGCAGCTAAAGATGATGAGGATGAAGATAGTGAAGAAGATGATGACAAATCAAAATTAAAAGGAAATAAAACCAAGATGAATAAAAAAGATGATGAAAATAAAAAGAATAAGAAAAATGATGAAAATAAAAAGAATAAGAATAAGAAAGATGATGAAATGAAGAATAAAAAAGGAAAAAATGATGAAAAAGAGTCTAAAAACAAGAAAGATATGAAAACCAAAAATAATTTTAAAAAGAATCATTTAAGTAACTTTTTACAAAATACCTTTGTTAACCCATTATTAAACGCCACAGAGAAGAATTTAAATAAAAAGAGAAAGAAAGATTCATTAGATGAAGAAAATAAAAAAGGTAAAAAGAGTAAGAAAAATTCATTAGATAAAAATAAGAAAAGTATAAGTAAAAATAAAAATAAATCTAAAGCAAAAGAAGATGAAGAAAATAAAGATAAAGTTTATAAATCAACAATAATAGATATTGGAGATTCAGTGAAAGACCCGTCAAATTATGATTCAAGACAAAAGATATACAATCAAATAGAAAGTTCAAATAACGTTAATTCAATAGATTTAAGTCAATTGAATGATAAAACGCTTAAAGCAGAAATTGAGAAGATTATGAAAAGTAACAGTAGTGAAGAACAAAAGAAAAAGAAAATACTAAACAAATTAACATTTGAAACCTTTACATTGGATTTGGATGATTTATTAACAAGAGAAACATCAGTAATTGAAATGATATTAGTAGATGTGAATGGTAAAGAGAAATTAGTTCAAACAGATGAAATAAAGAAGAAGAGTGATGGCTCATATAGTAAGGGTGGATCATCTTGGTATTCTAGTTGGTGGTTTATACTTCTAATTACCTTAGCTGCTATTGCTGTTGTTGTTATCATTGCTTTAGTATGCAGCGGTACAGATTAAATAAACTGTTCTATAAATTTTTTTATTTCCTAAAATAGAAATGATTATCAATATTCTAAAAATTGTTTAAAACATTTGTGTTTGTAAAATAAATTTAATTATTATAATTATAGTAAGATGGATTCAAATTATAAAGAATAAAGGGTTGTGGTTGTGTACGATAATAATAATAATTATTGTACATAATTGGTTGATAGAATATACAAGGACGTGGTTGTAAATTTCTATTAATGTTTCTAGGAATATTCATAGGAAAATATCTTGGATAAAACATATAGAATGGTAAAAGAACTGGCTGATGAATGTAATTAGGAGGATATCTTATTAAATTATTTCGTTGTGAAATAAAATTAAGACGAGGAGAAGAAACATTAGAACTTATATCACAATTATTGTTGGAATTTTGTGCAAATCTAGATTCATTTGACACTGATTGATGTAAATCATTATTGGGTTGTTTACAGTGTTCTATTTGAAGATTATTTTTATTTTCATTGTTATGTTCTGATACATTAGAAGTATTTAAAATGCCTGATATTAAAATAAAATTCTTCATCATAAAATAAGGGCAAATAAAAAAGCATTATAAAAATTTTTTAAAGAAATATTAATTAAAATGGCAATTCAAAGAATTTTTAAAATATAAAATTTTTATTAAGAAAATTAAACAAATTTATTAATCAAAAACAGTTCTAATAAAACTAAAAGTTGAATCTTCTTTAATATCAAATATTTTGCCAATCATTTTCTTAGAAACTTGTTGTTTCTTTACCATAACACCTTTATAAGGTCCAAATTCAACCACATGCTGATTATTATCATTTTTACCAGTCAATACAACAGTAAATACACCTTCTTCTAGTCTTTCAACTAATAAATACCAACCTAACATTACTTTATCAATTGTTACGTTATAAAAATTTTTACCAATAAAATCATAAGACTTCATCATTCCATAAATATTGCCAGCAATAAGAAACTTTTCTAAAGAATTATTAAATCTAAATTCCATTCTTAAATTCTTATCCTCTAATGGATTATTTATTTCAGCAAACACCATTTGATTTGAGCCTAAAACAACTAAAATAACTTCTATTTCTGGTTTAACATCATTTGATTGTAAAACCAACTTTCCTTTACCAATGAATGTGGTTATTAAATTAGACTTAATATCGTTATAATTAACAGGTAATTTAAATATTCGTCCTGGGAATATTTCGTCATCATTATACAATTCTACAATTCTTTTATCTTTTTCTTCTTTAATAATTTTAACTCTATAAAGTTTGTTTTCTTTAACTTTTTGATTGATTATAGTTAATTTAGAATCAAATGATTTCATTACATTTAAATTCCTTTTTATTGATTCTTCTTGGAGTATGTAACTGTTAAAAATAGGAGACTCAAAGAAAATAGACACTTCTTTATCTATAGATCTACCAATAACATACTCACTATCAGATATTTCAAATGGAAGTGTATCTATCAAATCATACCCCTGGTTATAAGTATAAAATCTATTATTAATTATCTGTCCGAGTAAATACACTCTATCTTTTGTAAAATTCTTATCTAAACGAGCACTGTAAGATTTAAGACTTATTTGTTTATTTGATTCATCAATCATTTTTTTACTAAAAAATTTAATAAAATTTGTTTATTTAAGATCAGTAAACATTTTGTAAAATTTCATCACTAATTCAAGATCTGATGGAAACAAAGTTTTTCGTTTAGCATGTCTTGTTAACATAGTTGCCATTTCTAGTACTGAAACCATTATCATCTCAACCCCTTCTTGAATACAATCTGCTGCTAACTTACTCAATCTAAACGTTTCAAAGTTATCTTCATCCCTTAAAATCTTCTTAATAAGTCTCAACAGAGGTGCTCTTTGTAACACAGTTCCTACATTTTGCTGAAGGAATTTAATTTCTTTTAACACCAACTTTTTCTTTGGTGCTCCCTTTGTTAGTTTTTGAGAAGGATTGAGTGTTACTTTTGGTTGACTTATACTTATTTTTGAACGTTGTATTTTGATTGGTTCTTTGTTTGCAAAGCTCGAAGAACTGGTTGACTTTGTAGTCTTTTTGACTGAAGTAGGTGTTGCAACTACCTTACGTGCGGTATGTGTTCTAATTTTCTTCTTTGACGGTGTCGTTACTTTTCCTAATGATGAAATTTTGCCTCCTGGTGTTACTGCTGATTTTCTTGCTGATGAAGCCTTTCTAGCCATATAATTTAAACTATGAAATTTATTCAAAATAAATCTACTAAAATATTTTTGGAGGGAAATTTAAATAAAAATACCAATTGTGGGACTCGAACCCACAACCCCCAGATTAAGAGTCTGGTGCTCTAACCATTGAGCTAAACTGGCTTGATTTATTTATTAAAAATAAATATATATAAAAATTTTTATAAATTAATTGAAAATATTTTTAACAAAGAATGGAACAAGAGTTTCAAGAAGAAATAAAAGCTTTTTTAAAAGACAAAGTAGTTGAAAATATAAATACTAATGGAATGACTAAAATTAAGAAAGATGAAGATTTAAAATACTTTGAACGAATTCAAAGAAACAATCTAATTGATAGAGTGAAGACAAAATCAATACCAAAGAATAAAGTCTATAAGACAAAAACAGACAAGAAAATTTCTAAACAAAAAATATCGGTTGATAAGAAAAAGAAAAGAGTAGCAAAAGAATTACTCACTGAAGACAAGAAAATGACTTCTAAATACTCAAAACTTAAAAAAATAGTTGGTTCAAATAAATCGGTTGCTAAGAAAAGGAGTAAATAAAATTTAATTAGTGATTTATATGATTTAAAGGGGAAAGCTTGTTTAAAAACAAAAAATATACTCCTTAATATGCATAACATTAATAGATTGCATCAAATGAATACAAAATGCTTTCTTTTTGAATTAGAGAAGTTTATAATAACTTTAAATGTGGAGAAAACAATCTTAAAGAAAGTTAAAGATGTTCTTATAAAAGCGGATATTACATTTGCAATGTTTTTAACAGGAGTAAAATTATACAAAGAAGTAATAAAGAAAAGACGAGAATTTATTAAGAAGTATGATCTAACTAGAATTGGTTTGAAAGAATTTAATGATAAAAGACCTGAAATTATTACAAATAGAATTGTGACAGATTATTCATATGAGGAAGATAAAATTGTTTTTTACACTGATAATATTTCTGAAATAAAGTTAGTAAAGAAATTATTAAATGATGAATACCTGATTATAATAACATGCTTTATGATGTCATGTAAAATATATCATGATTTAGGATTCACTAATGAATGTTGGCAGAATGTCTCAAAAATTAACTGTATTGATCTTAATATAACAGAAATATTAATTTTTGAATTAGTAAATCATAATCTCTATATACCCGGAGAAGAGTCTATTTTTAATGAAATAATTGATGTTTTAAATGTTAAAGAAACTTCATTTACGAAGTTTAAAAAAGGATTTAAAAGTATGTTTTGTTTTAATTAAACTCTTTTTAAATATAAATTGATTGTTTAATATCAAATTAACATTTAATAAATTTTTTTATATGAAAAAGATCATTTTTTAAAATATATTTCATTAATTAATATGTAAATAGATTTGTAATTAATTATATTATAAGTAAATGTAAATAATTAAAAAGGAAAAGAAATTATAATTTTTGAATCAGTTTTTTACTAAATTTTTAAAAAGGTTAAAAAATTTCTTTTAAATAAACTTTTTATAGTTTATTATACTCTTAGAGAGTATTTTTAAGCATATATTTCAAATTAAAAATAAAAACTAAATGTTTTTATTAAACTTAAAAGATTTAGAAAATGAGGTTAAATAAATAATATTCACATCAAAAATCAAATATATAATATTCTTTAAGATAAAACAACTCTTATTAGATTAAGAAATGATAAAATTCTTATAATAAAAAAGATCAAGAGTATAATTTTGATTAATCAAAAAGATAAATGAAAAACTAGACTATTATTAATATTTATGAAATTAATAATTAAAGTTATGTTCTGAAAAATAGAAAATTACAAGCATTTATAGTAATTTATATTTTTTCATTGAAATAAATGAAAACAGTCGTTTATTGAAAAAATTAATAAAAAACCCTTGATTAAAAAATTTTATAACTGATTAATATTTTAAAAAAGCATTATACAAAATTAAGATATTATTATAATGATTATTTTATAAAATAACTGTTTTTAATATTTATTTTTTTGTAATTAAAACAATCTTTTTAACATAAAAAATGTATTTTATCAGTTTATCACAAAAAATTAACTATATTTTATGTAATATCATGAATGTGAATTTTTATTAGTTAAATATATTTAAATTAAAAATTAAAAACAGTATATTATAAGATATAAACAAATATTTTATAAAATCAGTAGAAAAATATTATTTATAATAAATTTAGTGATTAATTAACAAATTTTTAATGTTACACAGAAGACTTACTAACCATGGTTATTATCTTAATGATCAACCCACTAATGATAAAAATTTTAATTTAGAAGATTCTATTTTTTTAAAAATTTTATTTTTAAAAATTTTTTACCCTAAGAATAAAGAATAAGTAACAATAAATTGAAATTAAAATTAAAATCAATATTTGAGAGTTACCTACAATTCAGCGCGCGAGGACAAAATGTCAACACTAACTAATATTAGAATTAGAAATTACATTTCATTTTAATAATAAAATATCACAGTTATAAAAATTTAATTTTTTTGTTATCAGAAGTTTTTACTAACGTAATTGATTTTATGACTAATTAAAAAATATTTTAAGAAATTATTTTAAACCTTCAATATTATTATTAAATTATTATTAAACAAAATAATTTATTAGGAGATATGAATTATAGAAAGGAACAACTATCAGAAAATGAACTACATACTTAACAAAAGGTTAAGAAAGAACTAGAACAAGATCTAGCTAACATGGTGTTTATAAAAAGTTAATAAATGATTTATGTGTAATAAATATAAATTATTGTTCTGTGTAAGAAGTATTC